TGTGTGTGTGTGTGTATGTATATGTGTGTGTGTGTATGTTTCCGCAGTAACTTGTCTACAACTTTCAGTTCGGGAACCACAGCTAGAAAGCTGAAGATTTAGGAGTATGTTCTCCGCCCACGTGTGATCCCCCAAATTTAAATTCAGCCTTCCCGTACACGCAGGTAACACATACGTCCCTATAAAAGTTCCCGCAGGTGAAATTATTATCGTGGGAATTACGGGAGCTAGAAGGCTGAATTCTTGTGGGCAAGTTCCCCGCCCACATGTGGTCCGGAAAATTTGAATTCAGCCTTCCCCTCCCCGTGGGCAACGCGTACGGCCCTTTAAAAGTTTTGGCGGGTGAAATTATTATTACAGGAACCACGGAAACTAGAAGGCCGAAATTTCAGAGTAATGATCCCCTGCCCACGTACGATTTTGTAAATTCAGATTCAACTTTCCCGCGCTTTCGGGTATTCCCTACGGCTGCGTGGAAATTTTAGCGAGTAAATTATTATCTCGGGAACCACGGGGTCTAGTAAGCTGAAATTTTGGGGTCATTGCGTCCTGCCCACATACAACTTTGCAAATTCAAATTCAGCGTTCCCGCGCGCTAAGGTATCACTTGAAAGTTTCAGCGGGAAAAATTATCTCGGGATTCACGAAAGTTGGGAATCAGAAATTTTAGGACCGTGTTCCCTATCACCGTACGACTCCTTGGGTTCAGCCTTCACGCGCTGCTGGGTACCACGTACAGTCTCGTGGAAATTTTGGCATGAAAGTTGTCTCGTGAACTGCAAAAGCTAGGAAGCTGAAATTTCGGCGTGACCTTCGCAAATTTTCAACGTCCTTGTGGGAGTTTTAACGAGAAAAATCATTTTCTCGGGAGCAAGAAGAGTTAGGAAGCTGAAAATTTGAGGCGAATGTTTCCTGCCTAAGCAGGGACTTCATAAACTCGAATTCAGTTCGCAAGTGTGCTGAGGTTTTGCATACAACCACGTGAAAGTTTTGTTCGAAAGCCAGAAAATTAGAACATTGAAATTTTGAAAGGATATTCACTCTTCGTAGTTTCAAGTCCAGCTTTCACGTATCAGTGTGTGGAATTGTCAACTGTTTTTTAACATTAACAAGCAGTCATTCGTTGGACGGAATTGCAGAAAACACATAATCGTGCCCAGGTGCGTGTCGTTATTTATTGCTTTGACAGTGACGAAACATTCAGGTGTTTGGGATGGCTGATATCGTTGCTGGTGGCTCGCTTCTGTCACTGTCGCTCGGTGCGCTTGGGGAAGTGCGGCTTCTTCTATGTGCAACAGATCAAGCTCTCGCTGCTCAGCGGTATCGTTATCGAAATCGATGATTTGCGTCTGACAAGCAGCTTCTTCAGCACACACTATTCGTGAGTTTCCTTCGTGAGTCATGCATTTCTTAACATTTGCAAAAAGCCCTTTCGTTCCCGCCTCCACATGCTTTAATGTGTTTTGCGCTACACGGGCCTCGAGATCTTCTCACTTTGTGTTTGCGTGTTTGAACTTCTGTCTGGATTTTTCAACTCAGCGGCCAGGAAAGCCAGAAAGCTGGAGTTCCGAGAGATCCTTTTTCCTTGGGGAGGAGAATCGAGACGCTCCAGTGTAAACAATAATGACTATATGTATAAATAAATGGCAACGTGCACCAGACTAGCCGGTGCGATCATGCGTTTTGTGCAATTCAGCCCATCG